TTTTTTAGCATGGAATAAACCTTTACTTGTCCCTTTGCAGCCTGTGCATGCTGATGCAGCTACCCACCTGAACTACTGACAGAAAGAGTATGTCAGAGGTGCACAGGAATACGAATTAGGAATCTGTGTTTACCAACAAATCCAGAAATTGGTCTATACTGTCTCTTGATGTGTTACTGAAACATTTGACATTAATGCAGTTATAGCTGCACAAGCCCACAAAACAGTAAGTTATGTTCCCAGCACTCCCTATTATCCCAGATTTTCATACTGTACTTCCTAAAAGTACACATTTGATCACTTTGACAGAGGGATGGGAAGGTCTGATACTCTAGTCAGGATCAGAAAGCACTCAATCAGAACAAGATTATCAACACCCGAGGAAGTAATTGATATGTGAGATCATATATAGTGACATGGAACATGCCTAATATTTACTGTAGGACCATACTTCACAAATTCAACTAAAAATGGAAAGGGTGTATAGCCTCTCCACTTGTTGAGCTAGTGCCTCACTGATATTCCCATGATAAGGCACTCTAGTGTGTTTCCCAGGCCAGGCCTGCCTCTTCCCTCTACCGCGAGTGTCTTGCGGTGATGGCTCTCTCCCCCTCTCCCCCGTGTCCCAGCGGTGAGCTCCGTGCTGTATGGGGAACGGCTGGGGCTGCTGCACGACTACATCGACCCCGAGGCGCAGCACTTCATCGACTGCATCTCTCGCATGTTCAAGACCACCTCCCCCATGCTGTACATCCCCCCCGGCCTGCTGCGCAGACTGGGCTCCCAGGTGTGGAAAGAGCACGTGGAGGCCTGGGACGGCATCTTCGGACAAGGTCAGAGCCGGCTGAGCCGACACCTGGTCTGGGCCGGTTTAACGAAGGACAGACCACTTCACAGGGTGCCACGCTATCCACCTGCTGAACTGACGAAAACATATAAGGCTTCTCTTCACGTTTAACCATATCTGAACTCCCTAGCATTGTTTAAACTAACGAAAATATACACACTTCATGCAATATGCATTAACTGGGATCGTATTGGTGTAAGAAGCTGGAGCATAATTCAAAATGACACTAGCAGTACAAGTCCTATTGCTATAGCTATGTGAATGCAAGGACAAAAGTTTCAATGGAATAACAGCCAAAACCTGACCCTTTATCTTGACCCCTCCAGCTGACCGCTGTATTCAGAATATCTACAGACAGCTGCGTCTGGCTCCCACCAACGACAGGAAGTACCCTGGAGTGCTGGCAAGTCTGCTGATGCTGGACAAGCTGTCCATCGAAGACATCAAGGCCAGCGTGACGGAGCTGATGGCGGGAGGGGTGGACACGGTAGCACCTTTGTTTACAGCACATTGTCCACACCCGACGGTCTCAGGCCTCGCGTACGCATTGTGAGGCAATCTTGTGGGGCTAAAATCAGTTACTGCAGCACATCTCCCCCTGCTTTGTACGGAAAATTTAACAGATGGTGAAATGATTTCTTTAGTTCAAATACTTAAAGACCATTCCATCAGATGTTAGTTTTCTTGTCGACTGTGCTGTGTTTCAGACGTCTATCACCCTGCTGTGGACCTTGTATGAGCTGGCCAGGCACCCTGGGCTGCAGGAGGAGCTGCGGGCAGAGATACAGGCCGCAAGGGCTTCTTCTGACGGAGACATAACCCAAGTGTTAAAGGCGGTGCCTTTGGTCAAAGGAGCTTTGAAGGAGACGTTGAGGTATAACAGACAGGAATGCAGCGTGTCTGAGAACCATGTTAAGGAAACAGCAGGACTGTAGCAGCTGGATGAGAGAAACGAAAATTAATAATAATAATAATAATAATAATAATTAATAATAATTGCTTACACTTATATAGCGCTTTTCTGGACACTCCACTCAAAGCGCTTTACAGGTAATGGGGGATCCCCTCCATCACCACCAGTGTGCAGCCCCACCTGGATGATGCGACGGCAGCCATAGTGCGCCAGAACGCTCCCCACACACCAGCTCTCAGTGGGGAGAGCAGAGTGATGAAGCCAGTTCATAGAGGGGGATTATTAGGATATGGGAAATTTGGCCAGGACGCCGGGGTTACACCCCTACTTTTTTCGAGAAGTGCCCTGGGATTTTTTATGACCACAGAGAGTCAGGACCTCGGTTTTACATCTCATCCGAAGGACAGCGCCTGTTTACAGTACAGTGTCCCCGTCACTATACTGGGGCATTAGGACCCACATGGACTGCAGGGTGAGCGCCCCCTGCTGGCCCCACTAACACCTCTTCCAGCAGCAACCTTTGAAAATTGTGAGGGAAGTGCAGTGGAGAAAATTTCTGATCTACTTGCTGACTTTTAAGTTTGATCAGCTTTTGATTCTCTATGCTGTATTCATGATACCAAGTATCAAGCTTTTTTTTTAACCAATATATCAGGTTAAATAGACAAAATCACTTCATACATCCTTTAGGCGTTATTTACGTATATTGACATAAAGAATGACAGAAGAGAGGCTGACCTAGTGCACTCTCCCTCCCAGGCTGCATCCCGTTGCTGTGAGTTTGCAAAGATACATTACCAAAGACATTGTGATCCAGAACTACCACATCCCGTCGGGGGTAAGAAACAGTCTCCGTCGCATCCCTCCGTTTTCTGAAAGCAGGGTGCTGTGCTCCTGGTGTGATCCATCGTGTTTGGCCGCTGACTTGTTCACAACGAGACCACAGTCCAGTCCAGTGCATGACTAGGATTCTGCCTGACTGAAAACTTGCTATCGCTAAAGCTTATACTGGGTACGTGAACTAACATATAAGGCTAATCTTTAGTTTGAAAACATTAAAAAAGACCCAGCTCACTTCGATTAGAAAGCATGACGATTCAAATAAATTGATATCACATGCTTTTGAAACCATTTCTTTCAAAATAGTTTTGTGGAAAGTGGCTACCCATTTCCTTTGGTATTCAAAGCGCTGTCTCCCTGAAATTGCGCTCTCTTGTACAGTATTAGCGCATAGTCATGTTGTTTGAAAATGAAACCCCATGCTGACATGAGAACTGCACTGAGCCCTGGTTGTTCTGTCCAGACACTGGTCCAGCTGGGGCTCTACGCTATGGGCCGCAGCCCCCACGTTTTCCCCCGGCCAGAGCAGTACCAGCCCTCCCGCTGGCTGAGGGGGGAGCACAGCTACTTCCGGAGTCTGGGTTTTGGGTTCGGGCCACGTCAGTGTTTAGGCCGCAGGATTGCCGAGACGGAGATGCAGCTGTTCCTCATACACGTGAGTCTCGGCTCCATCCTTAACTTGACTTGAATGAGGTAGTGCAGGAAATCACTATTACCACAACAAGGAGTCCAGTTGCATGACTTGTTGCCCAGCTCTGTATCCCACCACTATCAAGGTGGTTATGTTAAACTGGAAGATTCCGCCTCAAATGAAATTAGCCTTGCATGCATTAGATCCAGTGGCACCTTAGACAGTTAATTGAGGCAAAAAGCAGGCGATCAATTATGTTTGCACACAAGTTAAAGGAAATGCACTTATTTTTCAGAGCTCTGCGAGGCAGCTTTGCTGTCAGTTTAGACTCACACTTTACAGCTGTTAACTGGTTTCTGTCTCCTGTTATTGTAGATGCTTGAGAACTTTAAAATTGAAAAACAAAGGCAAGTGGATATCAGGAGCACCTTTGAGCTGATCCTGTTGCCTGAGAAGCCCATCGTTTTAACCCTGAGACCTCTACAGCAGAGAAAGTAATGAAGAATGAGGAGCTCCAAGTTCATTCTCCACAAACCTGTCCGCCCAGTTACAGTAAATAACACAAGGGAAACAATTTTGGATCATTGTGGTGCTCAGTAAAACATACAACACAGCTGCTTTGGAGCAGTAAATCAAACTCCTGCTACAGGACAACACCAGCCATTCATGGTGTGATATTGTGTTGCTAGTATTGTACATGATCTACAATATTTTATTAAAAAAGACCTGCCTTTGAGGAAGATACTTGAAAGAAATGGAATATGCTTTAAGATTTGTTGCCTCAATAAGTTTTCATCTTCCCAGATATAAAGGAATCAAGTGGCCTGAATTGTTTAAGAATCTGTAAAATGTTTTTTCTTAGCTGTGTGTGGGGAGAGGGAAGACAGACCATGCAGACTGTACCTTCTTATTATACTCAGTAATTATTGCCAATTTCTTCATAACCCATTCCATTGAAATATTTTAGGCAGCAGGTCCTCAAAGACCTTGCAGAATGTGTTACAGACCACAAAGTACCAAAACTGCTTTGAGCTGTCCTTGTATGGTACACTGACCCTGAGTTGACTAACATTTTAACTCAAACAGTGGACAAGCAGATGTGAAGCTGCAATGCCAGAATACTTCAGGTGGGGAGCTGCGTCAGCATGCATAGTCTGCAAAGGCACAAGTAATAGATTTATTCCATGCTGAAAAGAGAAGAGAGAAAAACACAAAGTTTTGGCTGTGAACCCGAAAACACAGCCGAAAAGACACCTGAAGAAGGCTTCACAGCCGAAACGTTGTGTTTTTCTCTCTTCTCTTTTCAGCATGGAATAAACCTATTACTTGTTCCCATGTCAGAATACTGTATGGGAGTGTGAGTAAAACAGTAAACTTTTCATTGATACTTGAATAATTAAGTCAATTGAAAAACAAATCCTAGATTTTTATTGAACGTAGGCAGAAATATGAATTTTTGTGTGGGGTTTGGGAAGTAAAAATAAAGATCTCAAAGGCGTCAGCTCAGGGGTTTTGAGGAATGGCTACGTCAGGGGGTCCAGCTTCCTGTGTCTGCTGGGGTTTGGCAAGGAGGTAGAGCCATGCTTCTGCAAAGAGAAACAGAGGGCACCTTCA